TTTTGTAAATGGTCCGCTAAATCCGCTTCTCAAAATTTATTTACACATTACATTTAACACAGAACAGAAAAAAATGTGTACACTCTAGCCGTTGATATGGTTTAACCGCTTCTGAAATTGGTCCAAGATCATCAAATCTAGGATACTTCTATAAACAATGGTAAAAAAAACAGCCATATTGTTGTTAAATTTTCTATAGTACAAATTTACCTTTGAGGAAAATTGTCTGTAGCGATATTGCCGCAAAGTTCGTCGCCTGTGGTAATCTGCTTTATGTATACCGCATAAGTTGGTTACCTCCAGTGGATTAAATTGCTTTGAGTTTGATAACATAGCTTCTATATAAGGCCAGGTATGTTGACAAGTACGGTTATACATTCTAATCGACAAAAAAAGATTATTTTTTGAATTAGGCTTGTTTTACTTTAAACCGTAAAGCTTTTTTGCGTCACGATTTTGGAAAGAATATTATTCGTCAAAAAATTGAGACGATACTTGTAAATGGGTCTTTATATTTTGAACGTGAATAATCTCTTGTGTTAATTATCACGGTTTGGGGTATTAGGCCGAATCATAACAGAGAAAAGCTTTCTAGGCAATTTATAAATTTTACCAACACAGATGATGAATTTACTGAGTAGATTAGCTTAGGGCAAGATCATAAATTATTACGATTCAAAGTTGTCCAACGCTCACACAATTCATCATGTTATAATAAGTATGTATGTATATTACACACAAAAACGTGTGTGTGGCGGTTTGTGCCCGAGGATTCAGGTTAAGCTTTTGTTCAATGTTACAAAGAGATTCACTAATAAGGAAACTTCATTTGTTTAAGTGACTGATAAAATAAGATTCAATTTACTGCGTATTTATAAATAATCTCTTCTGTACAAGAAATTTGCCATCTGGTATAAGATAATTTAAAAAATAAATATTTCTTTTATTTGTATTCCTCACCTAATATGTTTGGTTCTTCTTTCCTTTGTTGTAAAATATTTTATTGAGCCAATAAATAAAGCAAGCGGCCGAAGGCTGCTTTCATAATTTTATTATATTCGTTTTTTTTATCTTGGTTATACACGCAAAATAAATCTTTTTAGCCCCTTAATGTTGGTATTAAAAACTTCTGAAAATTGTTTTCCAGTAACGATAGATAGACATATTTAAAATAGATACTTTACTAAAGTGGTGCTCTAGTTTTACGATCTTAGTCCAATCCCAAGTCGGATCATCCAACGTATTGTTCAGAAACTCCGTTTTCCTAAGGTCACGACCTGAAATATATTAAAATAGCCTTCATCTATACCTACTCGACCAAACGCTTTTAGCAGATATATTTGTTTGAGTGTCGAGCCCTTAACTTTGAATAAAAGCGTAGTTAAAAGATTTTTCTGTCTCTTTGTTGTACATACCTATATTAATATGAATAAAAGTTTTAATACAGAATTTTTATTCATATTAAAATAGGTAACCAAAGACCAAATTTGTTTTCGACATTTTTTGATTCCAAAGAGTTACACAATCGCGATTGTTTCACCTGGTGCTTAACATAATATATATGATTAATAGTTAATGTAATTTTGGACAGGAATCATTTTTTTATAGTTTTTCAATAGCAACACTAGGAAACTTGAACCAAACCAACCAAACCAACTTTTGACTGCACGGATGGCGTAGTGGTTTAAGCGGTCGCTACGCCGCTTCCTACTACGCCGAGTGTTGTGGGTTCAAACCCCACATGGGACGACACTTTGTGTGATCCACAAATTGTTGTTCTGAGTCTGGGTGTTCTTTGTGTCCGTTTCATGTATGTTTGTAAAGTCCCCCGCGACACAGGATTTATTCCTAATGCGGGAGTTGTCTTTTTTTAAAATAGAATAGATAGAAAGGTACCATTACAGATGAACATGTAAACTGGCATCGTACTAATTTCAATTTAGTAACTCAAATTGTTCATAACTTTGGGTTTCTGGACTTTTGCCAAATTGCAAAAGGACGTAAAGTATTTCGTGAATTTTAAATTGGATTCTTCTTCAATTTTATATTGACGAATAGTACTTATGAAGGCCGACGTAAGATTTTAAATTTTAGCTCATGACCTTAGTTCGGTCAAATAGCAAGATATAAACATTGGCAAATAAAACTATGTGAATTATAATACAGGTTAATTAAACTATATACAAAATACATCTGGTATGATATTTTTGTGCTATCTAAATACCATTATTACCATACATTTATTGCATTTCATGCTTTTTTTGTTAACAAATTAAATTCAAAGATGTTTAATTTCGATATGGAAAGGTTAAATACCAAGAATGCATAAATGGCCACAAACAGATGCACAAGTTTTAAGACACCTTATAAATATTTACTTATTTTGTAATCAAAGCAAAATGCTATGGAAATTAAGAGTTTTTGGTTTTGCACTAGTTTTTAATTTCCCATCGACCCAAAAAATGAACATTTGGTACCTTAGATAAGAAATGCGAATACACAACTAAAATAAATGTAATAGAAATTACTAAACTGAAAAATAATTGACAACTTGAATTTAGTTATAACAAAATTAGAACATCATCTACATACGTGTTGTGACCAAAAACGATTTAATTTCATGATCATCAAACATGGATACATATATATTTATATGTATCCATGTTATGTATGTATCAAACATGGATACATTTATATTTATATATATCCATGTTTTATAAATTTGATAGATCAACATAAAGTTTATGATTAATCTCAAAAACGAACATACTAAGATTTATACATGTCGCATCCGGATCTTGTCTACGGGAGATCAACGACACACAAACGTCAGAGTGACGTATACAGAGCCTTAGAGAAAAAATCATTTAATAACCTACGAAGAGTTTATTTCTCCCCCGGATCCCTGCTGATGCCCACAATGAGTGACCATGAGAATAACGGTAATAACGGTTCTCCGATATACATACAACCAAATGACTGTTTGTAACCATCTACATAACCTTGATAAAATAAAATATATACAATCGATACATTTAGGTATATAAACATTAAGGGTCCCCATATTTAGACATAATTATCATTTCAATTTATTAAGGAGTTCCCTTGCTTACGTGTTGCTAAGCATCACAAAAGGTAAGAATCATTTACGAACTTACCAATTTAAGGAAATAATTTCAATTCTTTCAATGTTTTGTTCTTAAGTTGATATTTTTTCAATTTTAGGTCATGAATCTTTTTGAAGGAATCATCAACAGCCTTTACTAGTTCACTGCTGGACATAGGTCTCTCCTTAGAAAGGAGGGTTTGGCCTACTAGGCCTTGGAGGCATCATTAGGTAATAATTACACTATAGAAACCTCCAAAACATATTCTATCAGCAGAGCTCGAATAGATTCAAGGCAAAGCAGTTTCAAAATAATTATTTTATGAAATTGGGCAAATTTGACAAGTAATATCATCGGTTTGTTCTTTTAGGGAAACATAATAAACAAATCTAAATACTTGTGTAAAGACATATAAGCAAAAATATTACGAAGAATCTCACGTTTATTGAATTTTGAAATTATGTTTTTTTTTTCAAATTGATGACCTTAAAGGAAACGTTTTGATAGAACTGTTTTATCTTGAATATTTCATTGATGGAAGATTGTGTGTAAAACTAGAAGATTAAAGAAACAGCTTAGCAAAATGACTGTATTTAAGTAATACATTTCTTTTAAAACTATCTAGCCTTATCGTATAATATTTTTGCTATTCATATTTATCTATGTACATGTAAAACAGGTATATAACACCAAGAATGAAAGAAAGTGCCAATGATATGTGTTATCTAGTGAGTTTTTACTGTTAAAGATATAAAATTATTAACGCTACGATTATTTACAGTAAGTTATCGTTAGCTTATTTGAATTGAGGTACAGCTTATTTAGGTTGGAAATTAAGTAAAAAAATATATCACTTTAATCAATTTATGATATTATCTTCCAAAGTCTTTTTAATGAGGATAGTTAGTTGAGTCAGTTATCACGTATACAAATAGGTTTTGACACATACTAATATTGAAATTTAAAAAAAGAAAATAATAGCGAAAAGAACCAAAAGCTAAAGGTTTTCTCATTAATTAATTTTGTTTGTTTTTGTTTATGTTAGAGGGGGCAGACGAGCAGACGGGTCAACTGATGGAAAGTGACCATCGACGCCCATGAACGTCTGCAACTCAGAAGTCACAAACGCGTTGCCGGCCTTATCATCATGTCATTATTATTTATCTGAATTAATTGCTTGAACAATAATAAAAATAAAAATGAGGGTTCAAAAAAATTCAAGTTTATGGACCCAAACAAGCTAAACCTCTCTCACTAATGGACAGTAAACATACTTTACTATGATTACTAATTTCCTGGTCATCAACGGTAACTACCCGACCAGTATATTTAGACACTCCTGGTCAGTGTGATGTAATGTATGAGAAAGTTAAAACGGGCCTATTTATACTGGTCGTTCTCTTAAAATTACTTTTGACTAGGTTGTGATAGCAGCTATTCTAATATAATGTACGTATGTGTTATAAAATGTTAATAAGTGCTGTAAACACTTAGCTATCTTAAATCTATCACGGCCTTTAATCCTCTTAGGCATTATCGATAGCGATTACTTGTAAAAATATGTTCGGAACTACCTCCAGAAAGGCTTTTCAAGTAATTTTAATTATCGACAATGACACAGATACTTTATTCTTTCTAAAAGGATATTTTTTTTGTATATTTTCCATTCATAAGAATTTTTCAAGTCTTCCAAATTAGTAGACGAATACTTACATATCAAATTCTTTTGTTTCTTTCCTTGCCGCTTAACAAATGAAAGTAAATAATTTACAAAAGAATTTTTCAATTTACTTAACTTTGTTTTAACACATTTATTTAGAAAATTAATGAAAACAACTTGGTTGCAAAAACTATCTTAAGTCATTGTTAGCACTGTTGTTCAACACTTTAACATTATGTAGATGCAGATGATTTTCGTTTCTCCGTCTTATTGTCCCTAAGCTTCGTCTCATCCAACGATTCTATCTTGTGATCTCTGAGTAACGGGGTACGGGCATCGGTTTTCGCTTCACTCCTTTTGTCCAAGTAAATATTATTTTTGTAATTTATCACTTTAATACTGTTATCACTTTCAACAGATTCTTGACGACTCGATATTTTAATTTTTTCTTTATTTGCATCCTCTTGATTTTCTAATTTTTCGCTGTGAAACGCCATATTGTCGAAACATTGGGCTGGCACTATGTTAACGGATTTCATCATTGGTAATGCAATTGCGAGCGCGGGACTCATATCACGAGGACTGGGTGTAAGTCGAGTGGTAACCGAAAGATCCATTCCTGGCATCAAAGTTGCAACTGTGGGAAATAAACAATAAAAATTACTGATTGCTTTAATATAAATCAATAACATTTATAAAGGTTTGATTAACAATCATGCATTGACATGCTTATTATTGGATAAAATTATTTTTAATTTTCTTATTTTCTTACACAACAAAGAAAGAACTATACACATATATTACGAAGACATTAGAACATTGATTCACGCTCACAAAACAGCTGACTAGTGCTAGAAAAATACAAAGGTTTACAATATATTTTTAAAAGCGTAACGAAAGACACTGGTTAGTGTAATATTGGTGTTAAATTATATCTAAAGTGTACCGAGATGTTTGGTTTTGAGTTTGATACTTCGTTTGTCGTGTTGTTTTGACTATTATGTGGTGGAGAAGTTGGTGTATAGTTGCTGCCTGAAAAAAACACTAAAGCATAACTATCTAATACACAAAAATAAACAATACATACTCGTATGCCTAAATCAAATAAACATGAAGCATTTCACATTAATATAAAAATTAAATAGTAATTAAAAAAGAACAAAATAAATCCATAATATCTACGACAACACCAGTTTTGGAAGCAAAGCAAACGTTCGGGGGTATAAAATACAGATATTTAAAGTCCCGAACCTCCATTTCATCGAAGCGAAAAGACTTAGACGGTAGATCCAGTGCTGCCTGAAGAAACTGCCGTGTGCATACATGATAATGGTATGAAAATGACTGATTAGTGACTAAAAATATATTTGCATTCCTGTAAGCTAAATCCAAATGTGCAGGCGATATAAAAAGCCCGTTCAGTTCCAACGGCGTTGTGTGATGCTTTCTAAAGCATGTTTAAATTTTTTCTTTTGCAGTTGTTTGGTGTCGTTTGGATCATAGCCTCTAGCTCGCTACGATCTCCATCTGTGGAGGATTACATTGCATAAGCTACTGTTAGTTATGTGATTAGTTTATTAGATTTTATGTAAACATACAAAGGACATTATCAAAAGCCACGTAAGTGGAAAATGTGTACCTATCCTCCTGTGTATCTGTAACTTAAAAATAATTTAAATTTTAACAACAAACGTATACCTTTGAACCTACATTTGATTAAAAATATTGAAGATACGAGGTCAAGTTATTAACCATATAACCTTTATATGCTCATTATTTCCTTTGTATTATTGGATTGTATACATTTGTTGTTTTTCTTTGATTTTGATAATGTTCTTTGCTTTCATTAAAAATGCTCTGTTAAGTTTATTTAGTTCAAGACAGTATATTATTTATAATATAAAGTTATGTTAATGCGTTTTTAGTTTATGTTTTATTCATACAGTGAACGTGAGTTTTATCTATATCTGTGATAATGCCAATCGTTTTGGTTATTACAAATTTGTTTGCTACAACGTGATTTCATACATTAATAGTGCTTAAAACTATAGTGAACAATAAAGACTTATTTTAATTGAAGAAGCCTTCAAATTTAACATTTATAGTTTTTTTATTGGCTTCAGCTATGGATGTATGTACCATAGTTTTATTTTTGCAGCTATATATAAAAGCTATGAACAACGATAGCTCAAATATTACCATATTTGTTACAAGGTAAATGTAACTTTATATTTATTTACATTTGAGAGGATTGTGTTGATTATAAAATTATACAATTGTAATTGAATCTCTAATCTAACCAATCCACAGCTGCAGTATTTTAATTTAAAGTTTATTCTGTTGTATCTTACCCATGTTAGGCCCCATCATATCCTTTGGATGGTTTGTTTTAATAGCATTCATTCTGCGGTTCACTACCTGAGGGCCCATACCAGGTGCCAGGGGATTTGGACCTCCTGGTGCACCAGGCGCACCTGGATTGCAAAATTTTTATTCTTTATATTGACCGTGAAAAATACAGAGATATAATTTATGACAGAAAATTAATTATTCAATTTTATTAACATAGGAACATACAGTTCCCTCACGAGGTGGGTTGGAAAACATTAATAACACTGGAAGAAGAAATAGTATTATCATGATGATCCCTAATATATATTATGATTATAAAGAGACATCTCCAAATATTTTTATTTTTCAATATATTATTTTATATCTGAATTTTAATACTCACGCATGGGCGGTCTCGTTGGTTCTACGTTAACGACTCTCCGCCTTTTCTTAGGCAGTTTTGCTCTCGCTTGTGTGTGCGAGTAGTACATAGCGAAGTTGGATACTATGACCGGCACAGGCAGAGCTATCGTAAGTACCTGTTTATATTAAATACAAGGTTTTAATCCAAGCTAGTTAAAATGATAGTGCTAAAAACTTTTGGTACCACAAATTACATATTTCTATTAATGAAATCATTACTAAAATAGCATTAAAAAAATTAAAGAAATTGCATGGCTTAGGAATTGGTAGTATATAACTGACAAAACTTATAAAAATATAATTTCATAAATTATTTACGTATTTATGGCTATACTTACACCGGCCAATGCACATAGCGCCCCCACAAACATGCCCACATAAGTCTTCGGGGCCATATCACCATAACCAACAGTGGTCATTGTGACCAGGGCCCACCATAATCCCAACGGTATGCTGTTGAAGTCATTGTGAGGATTCGTTTGTATCCTCTCAGCGTAGTATACTAGGCTAGCAAAGATGACGATACCCAGAACTAGGAAAAACACGAGTAACGTCAACTCTTTAGCTGATGCTCTAAAGGTCTGGATGAGAATTTTGAGTCCAGACGAATGTCTCGTCAACTTGAAGAGCCTCATGATCCTAATGATGGAGAAGAACTCCAAGATGTCGGCGTTCTCAATATGCGAGGCATACTTTTGCAGGATCAGGTCGATGTAGAAGCTCATGGTGGCGATGTAGTCAATGATATTGACGGAAGATTTGACGAACTCACACTTGTTAGGTGACGATATGAATCGAACTAGGATTTCTAACGTGAACCACGCGTTACACACACATTCTATGTAAAAAAACGCAATGTGGGCATTTGTTTGCACTTTGTCCAATGCCCAACTCTGCGTTTGGTTTGCTGTTGTCACTGTATAGCTTCTTATCACTGGTACTCGCATGTCCGGGTGAGTTTTAAGACAGAACGATAATATTGATACGCATATGAAGAAAACTGATATTAAGCCGATTATCTGAAAATAACAAAAAACATATTAATGATGTAACATGACATAAAAAGGAAAATGATCTGTTTTTTGTCATCGTTGTGAGTCGACTCTAGCATATTTTTTTTAACAATTTGTTTGTTTGTTGGCTTTATTGTTCTTATCTTTTAAAAGTATTGAAAATATACTCATTCGTGTACCTACAAGAACCGATGATTATATCATTAATACAAATCTTTTCTCGTATCGAGAATATAGTTTTACCTAAAAAAAATAAACTACTTGAAGTCTTGGCATTAATTTTATTTTTTCGATTTCATTATGTCACAAACATTATATTTTAAGAGCAGTAAAGTTAGATTGAATTTCTGTGATTCACCTTCGAGATTATATAAATATTAACAAGTGTAATATGGTTCTCCACGATAACTACGAGTAGTTATTCAAATTTGGGTAGCTTTAATATGGAGGTCGTCAGTGTCGTTGCTGTACAGATTAAACCCAACATCAAAAGCCAACCTTTTACCTTTTAGCGGCATATAAAAATTACAACGTGTACACACCCTACATTAAAAATAATTAAAGTAAATACAATCTTTTTAGTATTGAAATAAAGTGTGTTTTTATTAAGCTTACGACGATTAATAAACCAGATGGATAGTATTTATACAACGTCCCTTGCTCGTGATTGTAGAAAGGTTGTTTTTGGGAAAAATAAGGTTGTACCTTTATAATGAGATATGTTAATGACAGGATAATTGAAAGTTCGTGACTGCCTGGAAAAGGGTGAAACAAATTTAATAAATATTTTTCTATCTCTTTCAGTCTTGTTACTTATGTTGTAAATAAAAATATTTATATTTGTTGCAACGTGAAGGAATTCACAAACGGGTGTAAAGACAAAAGCTTCCCCAAAATCTTGATAAGACTTTTAGATTTGTTCAGAGCAATTGTGATCGGATAAGGCTGATAGATTGTTCAATTCGGTACCTTTCTCATTTATTGGGTTTATTTCGACAAGAACAATGGCTAAGATTTGATGAGAAGATTTCTCTTTAATACCCATTGATGTTAGGTTTATAAATAAAGATATATGTAATATGTGTTCATAAAACACATATATATATATATATTTAATGCTACATTCTGTTGCTGCTTTTATAATGTATAACCCGTCTGAGGTAAGTGACGACCCTGTAAAGTCTGCCTTGGAATATTCAAATTAGCATAAATTTAAATTAAAACGGGCCACTAGAAGAAACCCAGTGGATTCCAGTACAATATTTTACACTTCATAAAGTCAAAAGATTACTTAAAACGGGGGAACTTAAAATACCACTTCAATTTTAAATACGTACCAGATGTTTAAGAGATTTTGGGTTTTTATTTATTTTTGTGTATATTTCGTTAACTATGCATTGCTTTGTTTATGACAGTCAGCTATCATAAAGCAGAACACCTACGAGAAAAATCTTTTACTTTTGCTGTCTCATCTTCTGTGTTTTCTTACTTGAAAATTTTTTCAGTCATTTATTTAATGAGAAGTCTTTTCTTTGTTAGTCATGAAGGAAATATCATAATTCTAATGAGTAATCCTATCATCATCATCAACAGCCTTATAATAGTCCACTGCTGGACATAGGTCTCTCCTTAGAAAAAAAGTTTTAGCCTACTATACCATGCTGGCCAGACGGGTTGGTACAGGGTTAGTTTCAAGTTTTCCTTCTCTTTTCGCAGTGCTGTTGTCCTGCTCCTTTAGTCGGCTTTTACGATACCCACGGGATGAATAGAGGTGATGACACTCCGTATTATTAATCCATCACCACATAGAAAGGAGTAATCCTATACTGAGATGATAAAATACTGAGGTGCTACTGGTACTCCTATCGTAACATACATTAAAGAGTTAAAAAGCTGAACCTCGTATAGACAACGCCACGACAAATACCTTTGCAGCATTAGAACTGTACGGCTCATCAAACAGCGACCAGATCTGCGGCTTGAGATGCTGCCACCAAGACACCGTGCCTTTCATATAGTCTTCTTCAAATCCAAACTTCCTGGCTACCTCTTCGTCCGTCGGTTTTTCTGTATCTAGGTCCAGACGATCGAGGACGGCTAGAGTTTCTTGGGTGTCGCGATGCTGTTAAAGAAATAAAAGTTAAGAAAGAATATGTAACTATCAACCTACAACTAATAATAGGCTTCTGTCCTAATAAGAAATTGCTTGGTTTATAGTTTCAAATTATAAATGAAGAGACATAGCTAAGAAAAAACCAGTCTATTTCTCATAAAAGTTAAAGATTGTTAATATTTATTATTAAAACATCATTGTTGTTGTCGACGTTTTCATACAACAGAGCAGGTTTTTTGTTTTTAGCATATTTAAATAGTTTTGTTTCGCAGACTGTGACGTCATTCAAGATGCCATGACACTATTCAGCGTTTTTAAGGGAAATTTAAATTATTATTTTTTAATACAAAATACGTATAATATTGCTTTTTCTTTAAAATATAGGTTTTTTGGGATAAAATATATATTAAAGTATATAATTAACCAAATTTTCAAATTGAGTCAACTAGCCTATTCTACGAAGGACGATCTGGTGAAGAACAGTTCATGTAGTTTCGCCTAAAAAGAAAAACAGTAATCAATTTTGAACCTCCAGTATTTGATTTCGATTACATTAAAGTAATCGTGAATAACAAAGGCTCAAGTACGGTTAGACCAATGAATGACCCATTACATCATCATCAACATCACATAAACAGCCTTTACTAGTCCACTGCTGGACATAGGCCTCTCCTAAGGAAGGAGGCCAGACAGGTCGGTATAGGGTTTGTTTCAAGCTTTCTTTCTCTATGCAGTGCTGTTGTCATGCGTAGTTTGCTCCCTTAGTCGCCTCTTACGACACCCACGGGATGAATAGGGCTGGTGACCCTCTGTATTCGTAACCCGTCACCACACGGTGTACGAATATGAGTGACCCATAGTACACTAATTTCTAAAAGGTCGTAAAGAACGCTTTTAAAAGAAAATCCTGGAGACATATCATCTGCTCTAGATGTACCCCTGATACGAAACACGAGAAACGAAGATGAAAAAAGATTAATAATAGTGAAATACAATATCCTACAAAATATGTGGTGAAATTGGTAATTAATTAATACAGTAGAAGCCGCAAACACTCCAATATTAATTTTACAATATTAATTAAACAATGGGTTTCCATTCCACGTTATAGATATATGTGAAAACAGAAAAGTAATACGAAAAGAATACAGAAGGAGATCATTTGTACACGCTTTATATTATTTTTTATTATTATTATTTTATTAGCTTCACTTGTATGTTTGTTTGTATCCGACTCCTTTGGGCGTGATTTTGACTGACTTTAAAAGGTCAGAATTCGTTCAAACTTTGCAGATATATCGAGGACCGATGACAATACACTAATTTAAAAAAAAAATAGTTTTAAAAACTAAGAAACACGCTTTTTATAGAAAACCAAACTAAAAACTAGAAAATAAATTTTAAACTAGAAAAAAAAACAGGATTGGTAGAAATTTCAGTGCTGGCCAATGACAACGCCGATTAATAAAATAATATAATTTTCAACAGTTTTCTGATAAAGTAAAAATAACCAATTTGTCTTTACATTTACAGTTGATAATATAACCTAAAACCATCACAAAATGATACTATCGAAGTAAAAAAAAGGTAATAAACATACAAAATCTACTACTGAAGGGTAAATCCGAGCCGTCACGTATAAATCACATGCAGACGTCGACGTCACGTACATTACACTGCAGTTCACAATAAACTGCAAATGTTCTCCGAGCTAATATAAAAACATATGTTGCAATCTTTTAAACTACATTGTGTTTTGTTCCTTTTATTTTGTACATATTTGTTTTCCTCCTACTCCGAATATTTTTTCAGGTAAATGAAATTGTTATTTGGCGGTTCACTTTACAAAATTGTGTGGTAAGTAATATTGATAATATATTTTTGTATCAGGTGGAAGCTAAAAAGCTGGAGGCATATTTTCAACTTCATTTTGTTGTGTTGTTTGTGGCAGGACCGAATTGTAAAAGACTTAATGTAAAAAACTCGTTCAATCTCATATATGATATTCTTAGAAGAATTGTGCAGCGTCATAATAAATAAAAACATCTGAGTTATGTTTAAAGATTTAGACATGAATTAAAAATTAAGTTTAAAGGATATTTAATAATAATAATACTATAAACTAGGCAGAGCCTGTGCTACGTTAACCAGACTGCTGATCATCATCATCATCATCACATCAACAGCCTTTAATAGTCCACTGCTGGACATAGGCCTTAGAAAGGAGGTTCTGGCCTACTATACCACGCTGGCCAGACGGGTTGGTATAGGGTTTGTATCAAGTTTTCCTTCTTTTTGCAGTGCTGGTGTCCTGCGTTGTTTTGCGCCCTTAGTCGCCTCTTACGACACCCACGGGATGAATTGGGGTAGTGACATTCTGTATTCTTAATCCGTCACTACACGGACAAACATACTTACTGACTGCTGATAAACATACTTATATATTACTAAATACATACATAATATAGAAAAATTACAGTGCTCATCACACAATATTTGTCCTGGGTGGGAATCAAACTCACAACCTTCGGTTTAGCAGTCAGGGTCACTAACCTAGACTAGGAATATAGGCCCGTCAATAGTGTAATTTTGAGAATGTTTATAGGTCTCCAGGTGGATGTCGAGTGATCAAGAATGTAAGAAGGAAGCTTATTCATCTAATCATAATAAACAATTTTTAACAGTCCCCTGCTGGACATAGGCCTCTCCTTAGAAAGGAGGTTTTGGCCTAGTATTTTATCACACTGACCATCTTAAATAAAATTGGAAAAAGGATAAGATAAAGAAGGACAATAATTCGGTCTTCAGTTGAAAAATTATACAATAGCATGAGAATAGAGTTCATTTTAGAATGAGTTGTATTTGAGCTCTTGAAAATGTATTTAAAAATACTGGCCTGTTTGTCTACTTGTTAGTGATCCTAACTGCTACGCCAGAGGTCGTGGGTTCGATTCCCACCCAGAACAAATAATTGTGTGATGAGCACGGTCATTTGTTCTGTGTCTAGGTGTACTTATATCTATAATATGTATGTATTTAGAATTATTTAAGTATGTTTATCAGCAGTCTGGTTACCATAGTACAGGCTCTGCCTAGTTTGGGATCAGACAGCCGTGTGTGAGATGTGTGAGAATATTACATATTATATTATATTTCAAAAGAGACTGAAGAAGAGAAAGTAATACAATTGAAAAATAATCTGCGTCAAACGGTTTTCTTTGAGGTATTGAAGCATTGTTTCTAATACAGATATATTTTATCTATTTTTTTTTATTTATATATTTTTTGATGATTGAAAAAGAGATTGTTTTTTTTCTTTCGCATTCTCAAAATCTTCTTGGAGCTCTTTCAGAAATATTCTTATTTATTTACTATTTAAATAAATAATGTGGTAGTTTTACTAAGAAAATCTTTTACGTAAAAATTCTTGTTAGAATCCGGCAGATGCGCCGTGTGGGAAAGACTATTGTTTACCTAAATATTTTGCAGAAAATTTAATCTAATATATATAATTCTCGTGTCGCAATGTTTGTTACCAAACTCCTCCGAAACGACTGGACCGATTTTTATGAAATTTTGTGTGCATATCGGGTAGGTCTGAGAATCGGCCAACATCTATTTTTCATACCCCTAAATGATAAGGGTTACCCACTCCTAAATTTTATTTTTTATTTTATTATGATTTAGCATTGAAAAATACATACAACAATAATGTATATGGCAAAACAACGACCGGGTCAGCTAGTTATATAATACTTATAAGGCATACAATAAAGTAAAAAATAAACAAATAAATTTTCCCTTTGGGTCCTTGCTATAAAATATATATGTACTTACTAATTAATCTAACTAGCAAGACTCAGAATTTTATTATAAAGAGAGGGTTTGTGAACCGCAAAATTCATAAGGATTTGACGAGTTGGCAGTTAAAATTTCAGCTTTAATTATATAAATTTGATAAAAAGGGACAAGGGATGTCAGCTTTTTGACCAAAAATGAAAGTATAGATATAGTCCTATCCAAAGGTAAAATAATTTGGAATTTGGAAGACTGCTATTGGAAATGGACTTCGAAGATAAGTTTCGTAGAACATGAAAATACAGGGGTGCCCCTGTACAGTATAGGGTATAGGATTAATTAATAGCTTAAAAAAACGTCTAATTGAATTATTTTATTTCTCATAATTGAAATATCAATATTTTACGTACAAAGGACATTTGTACTTAAAGTAAAATATTGAATTATTTTATTAAATAATAAACAATGCTATTTTTCTTCTTAGAAAACATAACTTTCACACTATTAAATATCTGATATCTTCACAAAAAAACTCAGCGCAGTAGAAAGCAACGTGACCGCTTAAACCACTACGCCATCCGTGCAGCCAATCCTGCCCAAAACTAACTACTAACATAAATAAAATCGTAAAAACAAAACATCAAACCAACAAAAAAAAAATAGGGATCAACTTGGCGGTTTTATCTACAAAAGGGGACGTCGGTAAATCCCCGCAAACAAGCAAACTTGGCAACGTGAACAGTATGTAGATATATTTTTACTTTCAAGGGAAGTTTTGTAAAATTTCGGAGTCGTGATGTAGTTTTGATCTTGAAGTCATTAACCTACCACCTAACAATATATTTATTCAAGTATCTTAATTGTTTCATCATTTGATTGTACGAATAGCTCTAGTTCAACTGGTCTGTTCAATTAGGATTCATTAATTCTTTAAAGACAGGTGTGTTAAAGTAACGTGTGGTCAAAGCTTAGGAGCGTTTTAAGTGGCCAACAAGTAGTACTAATTTTGTACATGTGAAAATTTGGATCATCATCAACAGCCTTTACTAGTCCACTGCTGGACATAGGCCTCTCCTTAGAAAAGAGGTTTTGGCCTACTATACCGCGCTGGCCAGACGGGTTGGTATAGGGTTTGTGTCAAGTTTTCCTTCTCTTTGCAGTGCTGTTGTCCTGCGTGGTTTGCTCCCTTAGTCGTCTCTTACGACACCCACGGGATGAATGGGGGTGGTGACCATCCGTTTGACCAAAGTTTGGATGGATGTTTGTAAATCAATCACGCCAGAGAGGAATGAAATTTATAACAGAGATAGAAAAAAATAGAATTAGATAGAAGAGATAGAAAAAAGCTACTAAGTTAACGCTAGCAAAGATGCGGAGCTAAGCTAATAGAAATCATATTTCTAAACTGCATATTTTGGTATTGGTTGTGGTCTCCGGTTTCCACATTTAGACTCAAGATAGTCCTTTGTACGTCGAGGACAGGTCGGCTAGGTGAGCCAACCAAGCTCCTTCCACAAGCGCAGAAGCCTCCTGGGATGTTCACAGGCTTCTAGGAGCGATTTCGTCTCAAGAATGATACTTGTCCGTTGTGTGGCCACTCCCTCGCATTCCAGGATTAAGTGGGCGGCGGTTTCTTTTGCTTTGAGACATCCTCTGAATGTGAATAGTTGTGGGTTCAGGGCTAGGTGTTCTGTTATAGTTATTACAATTATTCGGTTTTCTAGTCTGCTAAGACTGATCAATTTGCAGATGAGTCGTGGTGTGACTTCAGTCAGTAACAGTTTAGACTGTCTGCAGATGGGTGAGTTTTTCCACCTCCGGTTGTGTGCTTCACGGGTCCGTTGCCTGGTCCAGAATCGAAGTTGATTGAAAGGTAGTAGCAGCAATATGGTTCTGCGGTAGCTGGGGGTGCCGAGCCCCTCCTTGCCAACTAATCTGCTGCGTCGTTTTAATGAAGCATATATTATAAAGAAGTTTTAAGTTCATCCAATGATCTTGTTTTTTATCCTAATATTTTTTATAGAATATAAACATTCCATAAACTCTTTCTTCTTCTCGTTCTTTCTTCTTTCTTCGCTGTTAAATACCAATAGTTTCATTCATGTCAACCGTCTCGCCCAAAATATTGGCTTTATCAGTAAATTTTCTTAATTCTTAAAAATCACGCATTTTAATGTAATTTTAATGGCATTCCGTTATTTAATTATTCTACTACATTACCTACACCTATCGTAAAATTCCTCCTTTCTGTAATACTATGAGTACTAGTTATAAAAAAAAAGTTTAGATCGTTAACTTATCAATAACTTTTGACGACGGGTTGGCTTAGTGGTTTGTGTAACGAACTATCGGTTCCCGCTAAATTCAAATATTTTTGTGCATGTATATTTAATATTTGATTGGGTTTGAGTGTTTCTATGTATACTATGTATGTATTAATATCAGTTGTCTAGTACCCATAATACAAGCTCTGCCTAGTTTGGGACTAGATGGCGTTGGTACAATATTATTATTATTTAACTCGCTAATAAATTGTTGAAAAAACACATTAAAATTGAAAATGGATTCACCCAACTCTCACTGAAAGTTTCCTTCAAGTATAGATACTTTTACTTCTTTCTTGAACCTCTTTTACAGTTGACATTAGTTTTATAACTTTATGGAAGACCCGTCAAGACCTGGTTAGCATATTCATGAAATACTCCGGGCGGGGGAAACTGACATAAATCTAAATATAGATTCTCTGTTTATATAGATAGTCTGTTTCTGAGTCTGTTTTAACGACTGCAAAATATTAGAGTGACGCTAACGTTGTTTCATTATTGTTTGTTTTAGTGATACAGGAAGGCATTATTTGCAAAGTAAATGAGCGTGAACCTTCAGTCATTACAAGTAAATTGCTTGTAAAATTAATAGTGTTAGTGAAAATAGTCTGGGTTTAATCTTTACATTATATTTAAACGGTAAACGTTACCGTTTATGTATAATAAGTATATATTTTCAAAAAAAAGTATATTTTATTAAGTGTATTTATATCAGTTGTCTAGTACCTATAGTACAAACTTTGCTTAGTTTGGGACTAGATGGCGTTGTGTGAACGTGGTAGAATATTTTTATTAAATATTATTACTTTTTACAATAGTTTATCTACATTCTAAGATCTTTACTATAAAAATGAGTTTCGGCTTTGCCCATTTATCTTGGGTACATGTGTTATCTACGGCGTTTAGAGTCATCATAGTACACAATCTTACATCATGGATACAACATGGCAAAGCATAGCATGGTATTCTTTATAACCATGACCTTAACCACTAGTGCAGAATCGGTTCTGCTAAATATTTCTTGGGTAGGTCTATGGGTATTACGAGGCCCACCCTAAATACTTCGTTACCCACGAACGGCTATGGTTTTAATGATATTAAACTTATCGGATGGTGTTACAGTTCTTTTATATAACATATTTACAAATCTGGCATTTGCATTGCATATGTTGCCGTGCTCCATGCAGACTAGACAGACTAGTTTGTTTTTTTTTTAAATTTGGACATGTAACACACAACGCCATCTAGTTTCAAACTAAGCAGAGCATGTACTATGAAAGCTAGTTTGACTGACAGATATTTTTTTGTAAATACATACATATTTTACATAGAAAACACCCAACCCCCGAAACAACTATTTGTAAATCATACAAAGATTTGGTCCGACCTGGAAATCAAACCCGAGACCTAAGCACAGCAGTCGCATACGCTACCACTGCGCCACCGAGGCAGTCGAATATGAACTGGTGATTAAGAGTATTAGCGTTTTAATAGAATATTATTTAAAACCGTATATAGCATCTTGGCGATAACAAAATGGATTAGTCTGTGGGCTAACTCTAATCTAGGTAAAAATTAAACTACATAGGTATACGCTATACGCTTAGACAGATTGCTAGCTACTAAACAGTTGAAAAAAGTAATAAATTATCAGTCTGTAGTAATTTGTTTTTTTAAATAATTAATTCCAATATTCACATAAACGTCCCAGAATAAATTATACGGATTCAAGTGTAATAAGTATTGGTTTTAAAGACAACTCCAGCTGACTCTACAAACATACATGAAACGGACACAAACAATAACACAAAGTGTTGTTCCATGTGGGGATCAAACCCACAACGTAGTAGACGTGGCGACCACTTAAACCACTACGATATCCGTGCAGTCAAAGCTTTTCCTAATCTATTTGATAATGACGACCAGATAGCGTAGTGGTTTTTGTAACGGACTGCTATTCCAAAGGTCGTGGGTTCGATTCCCGCACAAGTCAAACATTTGTGTGTGAACATTTAATGTTTGATTTGGTCTGGGTGTTTCTATGTATAATATGTATGTATTTATTAAAAAATAGCATAAATGTATTTATATCAGTTGTCTAGTAGCCATAGTACAAGCTCTGCTTAGTTTGGGACTAGATGGCGTTGTGTGAATGTGGTAAAATATATTATTATTATTATTATTTACCTGTGTATACGTCATCCAACAGCAAGGTTCCACTTGGTTGGCATCTAGACCCCAGAACTCTAGCTCCTCCTCAAACAATGGCCCGCAGACGTCTGTAGGGTAGTGGAGCTTGCCGGTTCTATAAAGATTAAAATAGAGGACACTTTAAAAAAACAGAAACATTTTCTTTATAGGTCTTACAGATCTTTTGGAGTAACAAAAGTAGATTAAATATTCGAGCGAGAGGGATTCCAAGGTCGGCAACGCACTTGTGACTTTAGAGTTGCAGGTGTCCATGGGCGGCGGTAGCTGCTTACCATCAGGTGACCGGTCTGCTCGTTTGTCCCCTTATACCATAAAAAAAACATTTCAATAAGGTAATTTTAGGTATTTATGAATTCTTAGAATTAGAAGCTATCAGTAATACAAGTTAGTGATGCTGCTATTCTATTGAGAAGAACAGTGAAAAAACTACAGAATTTTTTTTAAGCTCTTTTTTAACAAATTACTTATTAAATTGCTTTAAAGAAACTACTAAACTGGCTTTGGTATGTCGGTTATCGCGGTAAAAATAGTAGCCTTTTTTTTTTTTTTTTTTTTTCCGTGCGGAAATCCCCTCGGATACCACCTGTCGGTGGCATGTCGGACTCGAACCGACTAACACCGCGGTACTAATAGCCGGGGAACCAGGTATACCCTACAAAGGAAGTCCCTGGTGCCCCGACATACCTCGGGTCATCTACAGACGAGTAGACGACCCCCCCCCCCCCCCCCCCCGTGTGGGAACCCCATGTTCCCTCTGCTCCCTGGAAGCGAGCGCGCTTCGCAATGCGCTCGCCGCCACCCCGGCCTGCTTCTGCTAGGGTGACAGATGGCTTCACCTGTCACCCCTATAACAGGTAACATTATAATAGCAATAATCCCTTCTAGTCTATTTGAAGTCGGTGCCAAGCCAAATAGGTGCTTGATAGGCTTGGTAGAATGTAGCGAGGCAGCTGTAACAGTCTTCATGCTGCGCAAAACATTCTGAACGAGATAAAGTGACGCGTTTGAGTAAACGCGTTGTCGGTGCCATAAAATTTGAGGGTTTCCCTCGATTTCTCTAGGATCCCATCACCAGATGCTGATTTGGTGCTAATGGGATCACCTCGGAATCATACCCTATCGATTACAAAAAGAATTTTGGAAATCGGTTTACAATTGACAAAGATATCGTGTAACTAACATACAAAAATAAAAACAATACAGACGAATTGGTAACCTCATCTTTTGCGTTTTGGAAGTCGGTTAAAAAGTGACATAAAATTACTGTTATCATCTTGTTCAATCACATTAAAGAGTGTCGAACCCGACATATCAAGGCGAGCGAATGCAAGAAACGCGTGTCACTTGGATCTGCTTTAAGTTTATCGCCGAAAAATTCCCATACAATGTGTGTAAAAGTTTTAAGGCGAAAAGCCTATGACAACTTTAATACGGCGTAAACGATAAAATATTTTTCAAGCAAAGCTACGAAAGTACAATTTCCACACATTTCAAAAACAAAAGGCTTGTTAACGTTAAAGGCTTACACGTGTTCGTTTGAACTGAACGAGACGATAGAATATATTTGTTCCATTTAATTGGCAGGACAAAGAGTCTAAAGGGTGCGCTGTCAAAAATGTTACAATTTATACAAGGTTGTTATTTGTTTTGCGTTAGTGTTTCAGATATAAAAGGATAGTGATCATTTTAAATATAATAAAGCAAAGCTTTACACAACTTTGTAGTATTTTGAGAGTTCTTAATATTTGGAATCATCTACTGTATATATTAAATTGCGCCGTGGCCTTATTATGAAATCGACTTGATCATTTTAGTACTTTTCGGTTATAAAAGATAACTCCCACGCTAAAAATATGTGTTGTGTGTGCGCCTGTGTTGTTGTGGGCTTTACATACATTAAAACAACGGACACTTAGAATATTTAGACTGGAGATAACTATTTGTTTATCACATAACATTTTTGACGTATTCTGATGGAAAGTGACTACCGTCGCCCATGAACACTTGCAACACAGGAGTCACAAACGCGTTGCCGGCCTTTTCTTAAAGGTTTGAAGGTTGTATCGCAGATGGTAAAATACCGCAGATGATAACTTGTTCCACTGATTATTTGTGCGAGGCAAAAATTGTCTTGAAAAGAGCATAGTACTGTAGTGCAGTGGTAATGTAGGAATGGAAACAACATTCAGTGCCGTTTATTGCTAAATCGACTATTCTAACCAGTGAGTTACGAGTATACATGCAATCAAGTTATTCACTTAAATATTCTATTATTGTTGGTTTTATATTCTGTGTGTCCTCTTTTTATTTCTTGATTTTTCAACAATACTTCTGTATGGCAAGTAATGAATTTCAAATGTTTCATGCTTTTTTCTTTTTCTCTTTCTCCAGTTCTAAGTTTGAGAATCCTAAAGCTATAAAATTCTATTTTGCGTTCAAGATTCTTGTAATCATAACATGAAATATGTCAACATATATATTTTGCTTCTGGCTTAGGGTATTTTATTAATCTGATGGATATTCAAGCGATGATAACACAATTTAAATGAATTCGGTCATAAACGAAACGACAGTTGATCCTATTATACAGATGTGAAATGAAAAAAATATCACCAGCTTTAGGGTACTTAACATGTTATAAATAATAAATTCTTCGGTTTCAGCTTTAAGAAAGGATCCGTATATATTTTCAGGAGACATTTCTTGAATACCCTTGGTCTAACTGCTTTGGTCTAGCCCTTTTTTTTGACGAAATTTAACTTTTTCTTTTTTTAACGCTATTAGATTTATTATCTGAAAATGATTACAATTGAAAGAAAAATTCGCGTCAGGTAAGCGGATGGCCTAAAAATGGCCGAACTAAATGAATTTAGTAAAAAGTAGAAAGATGATGTAAATTTACTTTAACTAAATTTCGCCTAGTTATTTTATTTTATTGTTTATTCCGTCTCTACTACTACTTCGTCTCTCATTGTATACTCTTGAAATCACATCACATCACATCATCACATCAACAGCCTTTAATAGTCCACTGCTGGACATAGGCCTCTCCTTAGAAAGGAGGTTTTGGCCTACTATACCACGCTGGCCAGACGGGTAGGTATAGGGTTTGTGTCAAGTTTTCCTTCTTTTTCCAGTGCTGGTGTCCTGCGGTGTTTTGTGCCCTTAGTCGGCTCTTACGACACCCACGGGAAGAATTGGGGTAGTGACATTCCGTATTCTTAATCCGTCACTACACGGACTGAAACTCTTGAAATAACTAATAACTCTTGAAATAGTTAAATTGAACATTCAAAATATTACTACACTATCATTTGATGAATACTAGCCTTGTCTTCTTGTTAGTACTAATCATAATCTGTTTTAATTTTATAATTTTTTTATAAATTTAAGCTGCACCTGTTTCCTACTTTTCCCTTTATGATTTAATATTTTTTTATTTATTTGAAACTTAATGCACATCTTGTACAGAGTTGAACTTAATTCCATGGGGTATTCTCTCCCAAACTTCAGGTGCGGTATCATATGATGCGGTATTTGCAAAAATAAATATTAAATCTGATATACATCTAAGTGAAAGAAGAATTTATATATTCGATGTCTTTAATTTTATAATATATTCGCTCTTACTAAAATAAGCTTAATTTCCAGTCAAACAAGATACTCAATATGAAAGCACTCATAAGTACACACAGTAAAATCTAAAAGCCCATTGGTTTTTGTAGCTTTACCTAAAATTCAAACTACGAGAACATTTTGCCCTCGTATATGAAGAAGGGCGTTAAAATAATTGGTTCAGCACTTCAACCCACGCACCAACCTACGACACCAGCTTACCTAACTACAAATATAATTGGCATAACATAAGAATACTGTTAGGAATATTTTATCGTCTAAAAGGGTTTCAGTGGAATTATTGTTTTAACTCATAATGGCTTGTGCTGAAAACACAGTGGGCGGTTGTAGGGTTCTTTTAAACAAGGCTGTTTGAAGTATAAGATGTCTTAAGTAGAGATATTTCCAACTGGAAACTTCAAAAATTTCGTGAATATATACAGGCTTTATCAGATTTGAGTGTCTTAATAATTACTTTACTAGAATTTTAATGTATAATATTGTAGTACAGGCGACAACTAAGGTGGGCACTGAAAATCAGTACTGAGGTGGCATCCATCCACCACAGTGTACACTGAGAGTTCACCTATTTTCTGAAGCACGGCGTACAATCCTCAGCAACATAAAAGGTTTTTATGATACACAGGTTCATAAGAATTAGTTGATAAGTACCAACAGTTATTGTAAGTATAATTTTATAGACGCGTGGTTGGATACGTGGCATATTGACGTGTCATGTCAGTTCTGTCAGAAATGAAAGATTGACACATTGTAAGATGTTGCCGTTATCAAATTATCCTTGATTTTTAGTTTCTTTGTGTATGTTGTTTTTAACTTTTGTTTTATTTTTGTATGCTGTGCTTTGTAAAATAAATATTATTCTATTCTATTCTAGTATGTTACTCCTTGTTTCTCTTTTATGCGTATTATGATATTAGATTTCGATAGGATTATCTAAAAAAGGGGATCGTGAGGGTTCGGTCTGAAATATTTCCTATAACAATTGAGATAATATTGTAATTAATACCGGTGCAGTTTAAAAAGAAAAAAATGGACGAAAGAAACAATCTGTAAAATTAAAGTAGTTTATTAGTAAGCGTACCCCTTTTTTTTTCCGTGCGGTAATCCCCTCGGATACCACCTGTACCACCTCGGATACCACCATACCACCGACTAAAACCGCACGCCGTCTCGGGAGACGGCGTGCGGTTTTAGTCGGTTTGAGTCCGACTATCCCCCGGCTATTAGTACCCGTACTAATAGCCGGGGAACCAGGTATACCCTAGAAAGGAAGTCCCTGGTGCAGTAAGCGTACCCCTGCCTTCGAGTTCTTTGTATAAATTTATTGAAAAACATAATCACTAGTTTTAAATCTAAAATTAACTGAACTAAAAACTGTATAGAATAAAGTCGAGTTTCAAAACATGTCTCCAATGAAATGAATAACTACACTGGAGTTTGATGTAACTAACACTAAAT